CCTTTCCCCCTCCTCCCTTTCCCCTTCTCTTTCCCTCACACCCCCTCGGTCCCCAACCCATATGACTAAGCGCAACTTTAAAGGCCGTAAACTCTCCATCCTGTCGTGGAATTGTTGTGGATTGCGAGGTAGAATGCCAGACATCCAGCGGTTAGCTGATTCGTATGACGTTATTTGTCTACAAGAGACTTTACTAAACCCCCCAAGTAAAATTCACCTTAATAGCTTTCGAATAATCAGAAAGGATAGATTGGCTATTGGGGAATGTGGCGTATGCATTCTGCTTCGTAGTAATATCTTTTTGGAACTTGTTGATACCTCATCTGTCTCTCACGACTCGCTCGAAATCCAGGGTATTAAAATTAAATCCTCCGGGATGGACTTAACTATTATTAATGTGTACAGACATCCTAATAAACGTACGCCTCTCGCAGCATTAGTACCTCTGTTCGATCTCGCAAACCTGCATAATAATACTTTGTTTTTAGGGGACTTCAATGCCTATCATAGTTCTTGGGGGTGCGGCAAGTCGGACGCTATAGGCAAGAATATAGTCGACATTATTGATTATCACAACTTTTTTATTATCAACAATAAGAATCCTACATTTTTAACGCCTCCAGGGACGGCCCCGTCAATTATTGATTTAGCTATCGTAACAGCAGCCTTCGCACCCTTTTGCTCTTTTGGTAACCTACCTGATACCGCTGGCAGCGATCACTTCCCCATCGCCATTCAATTGGGTCTGGAAACTGTACCTAAGAAAAGGTTTTTATATAAAATAAAACTCAATAAGTTTCAAAATGCTAATTTTCATGCGCAATTAATAAGAGACTCGCATCTTCTTGCAAATATTAATGACGAGGTAGCTGTATCCAGTTACATTCGGTTTGTGAGCTTGATTAAGAATCAAATCTCCTCTCTCTTCCTTGACAGCGATATATCGCCTCGCACAAAACTCGTTAAGCAATACAACGCCCCGCCGGTGTGGTGGGACGAGGCATGTTAATCTGCTATAGAAAATAGGAAAGAGGCTATGCAAACGTTCAAACAACATTCAACCTTGGATAATTTCGTAGCCTATAAAAAAGCCTGCGCAATCTGCACCAAGACCCTTCACAAAATTAAGAGGGACAAATGGAGAGAGCTCTGCCATTCTTTTGATGGTAAAACTCCCATTTCTAAACTTTGGAGCCTAATAAAATCTTTTAGGAATCGTAATCTCAACTTAGGTAAAGATGAGCTTTGTTCTGCTCAGGATATTGAACAGGCTATTTTCAATTTGTGTCCAGACTCGTGCCTTGATGGGAATTTGCCCTCTTTCTCGCGCATGAAATTGCAAGACGCGAGCAACCCTAACATGATTTCATCGCTCAATGAAAAAATTACGAAGGAAGAATTAAACTTGGCTTTGGACTCCTCTAAACGTAAGTCAGCGCCGGGGCTGGATCAGCTCGATTATGAGATTCTAAATTCACTTACCGAGGAATATCGAGATAAATTCCTTGATATTTTTAACAGATTGTTTGAGTCGGGATCTTTCCGGAGGATTGAAAATCAGCCCTAGTCATCTTTATCCCTAAAAGTGGGGGAAAGAGCGCCAGACCCATCTCCCTGCTCTCTTGCATTATGAAACTATTAGAAAAGATCATTTACTTTGGCGTGGCTTTACTTTCGGTGGGCCGTGGAGTCGCGCCCTATTCTGCCGGATTTTCAGTTTGGTTTCAGGCCGTCGAAGTCTTGTGCGGACAATCTAAGTGCGTTCACTAACTATGTACACGCTGATTTTCTAGAGTCTAAAATAACTATTGGGGTGTTTTTAGATATCAAAGGCGCCTTCGATAACATCATCCCGTCAATCCTACTACAGAATTTACTCGACATTGGAATCCTTGCGAATATACGCATGTTTGTTAAAAATCTCCTCAGTGAAAGGAAAATCTTTGCGGTTAGCAACGGTTTTTTACTGGGTCCGTTCCTTGCTCACAAAGGCACCCCACAGGGCTCCATTTTGAGTCCTCTTCTCTTCAATCTGTACTTGAGGCGCATAGGAGAACTGCTAGGTCAAGGGGTACGTATTCTGCAATATGCAGATGATATAATCCTTTTTGCCTTTGATATAAATGCGTGTAATGCTATTAATGCATTGCAGTCCTCCCTGGATAGGATTCGAGACTTTCTGTGGTACAGAGGCTTAGAGCTGTCACCCGCTAAGTCCTCCTGGATGCTGTTCAACAAATCTAGAACGAACTCGTCGCCATTCACCCCTTTGAACCTCACAATAAATAATCAACCAATTCCTAGAGTATTCTCTGTTTGCTTCCTAGGTATAATTCTTGATCCGTCCCTGAAGGGAGAAGCTCAATTTAAGTACCTTATACACAAGGGCAAAGCTATAACCAATGCTATGGCCACCATTTCTAGTACCAAGTGAGGTGCTCACCCGGACTCTATGCTGTGTCTATACAGAGCTATCTTTCGTGGAGCCATTGAATATGGATGCCTGATATTCAGGATTGCAGGAAACAAGAGAACGTTTCTTAAATTAGAAAGGCTACAATATCGCGCCATAAGATTGGCTATGGGATACAGGATGTCAACTCCGATTAACGTCATGCTCGCTGAGGCCAAAGAGGTTCCTCTGAAACTGAGGTTTGATTATCTCACGGATAAATTCCTTTACAAAGCCTACGCCTCTAAATTTAATCGGTAATAGACAGTCTGCGTCGACTCGAAGTGCTTATCACAACGGAAGATAGTTTAGCAAAAGCGAGAAAAAGGATCCCTATCTTCTCACGATACATTACCACCAAGCACGTTCTGCCTATCATCCATCGTTCTTCATTTTTTCCAGCCTTTTACTACGACTACAGAACTTCTATCTACCGCAAAGACGTTGATTTCTGTATGCCCATCGGACAAAAAAAATCTTCACCAAGCGAAGTTACAGCGAGGTTTCAGGAATACTTCGCTGAGCTTCCCATAGAAATTACTGCCTTTTATACAGATGGCTCCAAATCCGACAAGTCTTCAATGGTTGGATCAAGTGTTTACTCGCCTAGTCTTAGATTCACTCTGTGTGAAAAACTTCCCTCTGCTTCCTCGACTTTTACAGCTGAAGCCTGGGCTATCTTGCAAGCCGTCAACGCATGCTTTGACTTCAACATTGAAGATGCAATGATCTTTTCGGACTCAAAGAGCGTACTAGAAACGCTCGCTTCTCTAAGTTGCAATCATGGCAATCATGTCATTCATCAAATTAAGCATAAATTCTCCTTGGCTGAATCGCGCAAGATGAACATTATTCTCTGTTGGATTTCCGCTCATAAGGGTATCGGAGGTAACGAAAAGGCTGACCGTTTGGCTAAGCACGCCGCCGCAAACGGCAGGCGTCCTTTCTTTAAAATCCCCTACCCGGATCTCCAGGTAGAGGCCAAGGAACATCGCTCTGCATCCTTCAGAGACTGTTTGGAATCAACTGCCTTAGTCAAAGGCACTCAATATTCTGAAATATATAAGGATCACTCTGACAAGACCTGGTTCCATAACAAAGGCTTAAAAAGAGAGGAAATTGTCTGCGTGTCCAGAATTAGAAGCAACCACTATAACTTGCTCTACAGTCTTTTCAGAAAAAACATAGTTGATTCTCCTGCTTGTCCTTGCGGGGACCCTCGTCAAGATATCAACCACGTTGTCTTCTATTGCTCGCTTTGTATTTACAAGTCGGGAAAGCTTCGCTCCTTCATCAAAAAGAATTTCCTCTTATACGCAATTGACCTTTTCCCTATGTTAAAGAATCCTTGCCCTAAGTTCTGCCACCTCCTCTATATGTATTTTAAATCCCTCGAAATTTCCCTATGACTCTCTAGCTAGACCTTTGCGCCACGCTTCAGTTGGTGCACCTAACTTGATCCCACCAACCCACTGGAGTAACTCCACTTAAGCACAGGCTGTATCGTTTCTGGTGGAAACGGAAGCCTACATCAGAAGAAGAAGAAGAAGAAGTGAAAATCATCCAACAAGATTTGCTGGATGAAAACTCTAGCCCCCTGAATTTAAGGAATCTCCATACATTGTTGAGTACGGTTTGAAGCATTTCCAGAATTCGATCAGCGTTTTTCCCTGTGCACAACAGAACAATCATCAGTCATCAGCATACTAAATAATGCGCACATTATCCGGAATGCATTTTAATATAAGTCTAAGGTATACAGGGTGATTCAGAATAACCCCGGTGTTCCTGAAAAGACGTATTCTTGACTCAATTCTAAGACGATTTTTCCTTTACAAAAATTTTGTCCAAAGTTTAGTTTTCAAATTATAACGAAAAATAGTTAGCAAATTACGGGCCGCGTACGGATGGTAGGCAGGGGCGGCGCAACTTACTGTCCGCCGGCAGGCGGTACGCGGGACCGTCGCGACGATCAGCTGACTACACGCGCGCATAAACATGCGTTTACATTCTCTCTCTCTCTATGTTTTTCACACACACACACACACGCACGCAGGCACGCACGTACGCACGCACGCACGCACGTACGCACGCACGCACACACGCACGCACGCACGCATGCACGCACGCACGTAATATCTTACCTTTTGAAAGATTTGTCGACTTCTCGAAAAAGATGAATTAATTCCCATGTGATTTCCACGTAATGAGTGTTTATTTTAATAAATTTTCAATAGTTTTAATGCAAACGTCACAAGTTATCACTGACACAGATCAAATAATTAGATAATTCTTTTTA